ACTTAAGTCAGCTTCCTTGAACAGGGATCATTAAGAGGAAGAGAAAAAAAAAAACAAAAAACCCCAAAAAACCCCACAATAAACAGCCAGGACTTAAGTCAAAGGGCTGTGATCTACTTCTCCTGAAGGGTCTTTGATTCTGGAGCTGGCCTTCTCTCTCTATTAGTTCTCCCTGTAGCACAGACTATCTTATCTTCAAAAACATCTTCAAACACTTCTCTTTCCAGCTTTTTGACAGTGGTAATTTACCAGATTTTTAAGATTTTTCTTTGGTGGTAATATGCATTATATTACTAAGTTGAACATCCTTATTAATAATGGTTTAAAATATTATGTGTCCAGAAGGACACATTATAAGTACAAACAAATAATTGCAAACTGAATATAGACTACATGCAGTCTCGTCTTTGTTTTGCATTTATATCTACATGTTCCACTCCATCAAGTATTAGACTGCAAGATTGTAGAGGAGCTTACTTAAGACCAGCATAGTACACAGCAGCTTTCCTTTTCAGAATCCTTTAGCTTGCTTTTCATATTGCTTCCACTATTTTTAGAAAAATGATGAAGTGTCTTGTCTTCCCCCTGCTTTTGGTATCCCTGCTGTTCTCTCTTTTCCTTTAGTGTGACAAACCACAAAGCTGTAAGGGACCTCTGATGGTGAAGAAACTCAAACACTAGTGCTGAAATGTATTTATCCAGAAATCACTTTTTCAACTGCTCTACTTGTTATAATGGTAACAGGAACTATTTCTATAGTTTGAAACTGGACTGTTACCAGGCTGCTGTGCTTTGGCCTGACTAGGTTGTCCTTTTCAGTTATCATTTTGCATAAATTGGAAATTTTTTATTCATCCTGTTCACAAGTCGAGAAAACACAAGATGAGCAGCTTCTAAACAGCATTTGCTTCATCTGTTTCTGGGTCTTTACTCTGTGAGAAACACAAGCAAAGACTTGAGAAGGGTTGAGATAATACTGATAGTGTGGAGGACTGACAGAGAAGAATTCATTGATACAGTAAGGTTGGACAGGCTTTCTCTAGAACTGGACTCTGTTTCTTGAAGAGTCCTTAGTGCATGGACATTGGGGTCAGCAAGCTTGTCTGTCCAAGGAAATGAGTTTGCAGCAAGTTAAATTGGAATTATGGTGCAATGGAAACCCTGCTGTAACTATTTATTTCATATGTTTTTAAGAAGTGCTAATCTCCTTTGTTTTTAATGCAAAATAATTTATCTTGTGGAAGGAAACTCAGCACATGCTAAGAGTGCCAGAACATAGAGCTAGTGTGGAAGCCCAGCTTCACACTGTCTAAAGAAGACTTGCATCTTCAGCCTCCTCCACAAACCCTTCCCCTAGAAGAGTTGATCTTGAAGGAATCCCATGTGAGGCACTTCACAAAGTTTCTTGTAAACTCTCTCAATCTTTTATAAAGGTTATCAAGACTATTTCATAGCATTACTGTAATCTTAAGCAAGCTAGGTAAAATGCCTAATTCTCCACTGGCTCGAATCCTGTGTAGTTCACTGACACCTTCACAAAGAGAGTGCCACTTTTAAGAATTCTCCACTTTCCTAGAACAGTGATAGGGTTTTTGCAATCACTGCTACTCTTTGCAAGAGAATAAATGAGTGAACAGTGTGGAAAAAAGAGAAAGCCACCCTTAATTTTTTTTTTTTTTTTTTTTTTTTTTTTTTTTTTTTTTTTTTTAGTGCTGGTGAAAGAGAGAGACAGTGGGCCAAAATTAAGGCTTAATTTCTCCTCTAGAAAATTGGGATAACTATGCTTGTATAATTGCAATTTCCATACAATTTAGGATTTGATTCTACTCTTCTAATCCAGGATATGAAAAGATCACATAAGCAGAATCACTTGTAATGATGATTTAAATTATTTAAATTTTGATTCCTTCATACAGCAGTTAAAAATATAGTTAATCCAGTCTGCCATAAAGTAACTTTCCTGTATGTTAATCTTATTTCAGTTCTGATAATTTATTTTTCTTCATTTAAAGTAACTAATATTTATTTGGATATATTTATAGGATCAGGCCCTCCATATGCAAGAAGTAAGTCACTCCATCTTGGAAAAGACAGTTTATGGGCTATTTCTATGATTTCTTTCTATTATAAATTGTATCCACTAATGTAAGCAGTTGTAGTCCTAGTAAAAATATGACAGGTTAACAGGATTGGGCTGATCATTCACCAGGAGCAACAAATCTTGCCGTATCGTTTTTTTCTCATATAATTTGGAGGTACAATGTTTGAATTTCCTTTCATGGGGTTATGGAACAAATTAGGGAGTCACCAAGTCTTACAATTTCAACTGCTAAACTTTCTTTTCTTGGGCAGGAGCTTTTTAAAACTAGGATAATAATAACCTCTTCAAAAGGTCTAACCACTGATTTATCAAGTAGGAGACTCCTGCTGAGGATGCTCACATACAGGAGAGTATGTATATGCAGAGAGACAGGAATTTGTCCATACAGAGTGAACTGGTGCTTCTATGGTTTGGAAGGATGGTGCAGAGCAGAAGTTTTACAGCTCCACGCATCCTGTGCATACACACATTGCTTTTACATAAAGAGACAAAGATATCTTTATCTGCACGTCAGATAGACAAACAAACTGACTGACTTCAAACTTGCACTTTCAGTAGGGATTTTTTTCCCCCCATCTCCGGGTACTGCTTTTCAAAATTGCCTGAGGCTACAGTACAGCACCTCAGATCCCCAAGGCCCATTGCCTGGCTCCTAATAGCCACTCTCCATCTGTGTCACATGAACAGCTGATGAGATAGCTCCAGTGTCTGTATTTTGGAGAGCATATCTACCCAGGTTAAAATGCTGGGGTTGCCAAGGAGCAGTCAGAAGCCATTAGTGTTTGTGAGAATTTGCCTTGCAGCAGTTCCTTGGCATAGTGGAAAGTGTGTGTGTGTGTGTGTGTGTGTGCGTGCGCGTGTGCGCACGCGTGTCTGTGAGAGACGGAGGAGTAGGGTGGATTATATGGAAGGGAAGAGAGCAGCCAAAAGGAGTGCTTTCTAAATAACCAATATATTACAAAAATGAACAGTTAGTTACACTGTTTAGAGCTTCCATAATATCTTTGATTAGTTTACTGTGATTCGACTCTCCTTTCTCTATTGTTAACAGAAACAAAACAAGACACAAAATTTAAAAAAAAAAAAAAAAAAAAAAAAAAAAAAAAAAAAAAAAAAAAAAAAAAAAAAAAAAAAAAAAAAAAAAAAAAAAAAAGAAAAAGAAAAAGGAAACGGAGCATGAGAAAGAGAGCAGCGACTTCAGGGTCTTGCTCTGGTGTTTGGGCAGATGGAAAAGAGCTGCTCTGCCTTGGGGCAGGGTGGTTGTAATGAAGTGGCCTGTCAGTCTGTAAATAGTGAGGGTCATCTCTTCCATGTGATGGAGGGTATCACATTGCAGTGAAAATGGAAATGTCAATAAAATTAATCTGCCAGCTCTTTGCTGTGGCTTTTTTTGTCTCTCTGGTCCAAAAGGGTTGGTTTTTCAGAGGGGAGGCAGTACAAGAAGGGTGATCTGGCATGGGAAGAGGGAGCTGAAATGCAAGTTTTGAAGCAAATGAACTGTATGTAGCAGCAATGTATTTCGTTTAGTAGCACTACACTTCTAGACGAGGCTGTAGGAATTAGCTTGTGAATCTATAGCATTCCTCAGGAAGCTATGGACCGTCTAGCTCAGGCTACATTGAGCACAGAGTTTATTGTTTTAGGCTTTCTTGGACAAGGTTTTTACTTAGCATGGGATTTATGGCATTTACTGCTAATGAATGTCTATTCTTAAATTACAAAAACCACCGTCTCAGCACAATTCCCAGATGTCCTTCCAGGACCTCAGCTTCTTAAACACCAGCAGGGAGCATAAACTCTCCACTTCTCTGTTTTCCTCTTTCGTGTGGCTCCGGGCTAATGATGTGTAAGGAAAACACAGCAATCTATAAAGTCTCAGTGCTGTCCCAGTATTCTTCATTTATTTTGCATTTGATTATGCCACAAGTCGGATCTTGTTTCTTTCCTTTTTTTAAAGTTATTAGTTCAAATATTAATGTAGGAATATGGCATATATTGCTGCACTTGATTGATGCCTTCCCAAAAACAGGAAGACGTGCTCGTATGAATTTTAAGAAAGTAGGGGTCCTGCAATGCCTTGCCAGAAGAGTTTTTCAGATACATAATTTAGATGCCCTCCAGGCAGGCTTTCAAGGCATTTTTGCTGGAGGGCAAGAAAAAATAACTATGACTGTTAAAAGTAAATGATTTTTGCTAATGCACAATTAATGCCAGGAAAAAGCACAGAAGAGAAAGATGTTGATGGAAAGTTCTGATTAAGTGAGAGCTCTACCTTGATGTGCATCTTTTTTTTTTAATGATAATAATCACTGATGCAGAGACGTAGAAGTTTTCATGTCATGCAAATGCTATATGCAGGGTCATGCTAGGTGTACGTGTTTGTGAGTGCGTATGTATGTGTGTTGGGAGGTGATGGTTACGGGGAGTGGCTCATCTGACAGTGTGTTATGTGCACTGAACGGTGACATGGTTACTGCCACCTCTGCAGAGAGCCTTGAATATATAGACTACAGAACATTTAACTTGATTACTTATACGTATATGTTCAGAATGGTTGTAGGGATGCATTTGCAGTAAATGGGTTTTCCTGTGGCAGGTTTTCCCACATTGAATCCCGTAATTGACAAAGAGCTATTGCACTATGTCAAGCACACAATTATAATTGAATTAATGATATATGCATGTGTGAAACACAAAATTAGTATTTGGAGAGACACAGGTTTTAATTTTTACATATTTATATCAGTGTTCTCATATAATGTTCTTATGCATGTGCCTGATCTAGCAAAAAAATCCCAAAACAAACTGTGGTAGTGATTTGGTAATTAATGATACTTTTTGGCTTCTATATTTTGTTCATTAAACAGTCTCCTCCTTCCTATTTTTCTCTTTGTTGTAGGAGATGGTTTAGACAACAGTGTAGCCTCACCTGGTACAGGAGATGATGATGACCCAGACAAGGACAAAAAGCGTCAGAAGAAAAGAGGCATTTTCCCCAAAGTAGCAACAAATATCATGAGAGCGTGGCTTTTCCAGCATCTCACAGTAAGTGGTGCCCAAAACCAAAACAGATATCTATTCATGTGCCTAATGAGGTTTATTAATCATTACTAGAAATCAATTGTCCCCATAATTTTTGGACCATTGCTAGGGCACAATTTTTGTTGTTTTTTTTTTTTTCTTCCAGATTTTTTTCTTGGGTCTTGGAATCATGACAAATCTCAAAGAAATCTATATATATGTGTGTATATATACACATATGCATGCCTATAGAGAGAAAAAGAGAGACAGTATAACGCCTTAGCGTGGAACATCAGCTATATATGAAGTAACCAATTTTGGCTTTAAACTATTAAAAATTTTCCAACAGATAACTAAAGGGGGGTTCTTGCTTTAGGGCATGTAAAGCTCTGCCCTCTAGATTGTTTATTGCTGGCCTCTGTTTACAGAAACTTCATATGTTTGTGGTGAAAGAGGTAGCCCTGGTCTGTGCGTGTTGACATACACTGTGGATGTTAGGGAGTCAAAGGAACAGCTTGCGAACTTGTCATTGTTTCTTTTTTGTGAGAAATATAGAAGGCTTCCAGATTCCCTAGTTTTTCAGTTGTGTAACAGAGAGAATAAGCACTTTTTTAGCTTCTCTTCAAGTCTTTTAATATTAAAAACTAGCCATATTCACATTTGAGGGAGAGAGATTAAATATGTGACATAACAATGCTTTCCATGGTCTGTCTTTATCCTCTTCTTGCTATTGGTTTTATGTGTTGGTGCTCTATTGACATTATAGAGTCACTTAGGCATCAAAACATGGTTCCACAGAAAATCTAGTATCAGTGTTTCTAGTTTATTTCATGTGGGAAATAATGGAAACTGGTTAAATTATCAATTGATTTTCTTCTTCCTCTCACTTTACAATTGTTTCTCTCTTGATAAGGCTTAAAAAGCTAACTGTAATTAACTACCTCTTCTTCTACCAAAGTTTTATAAATTTCACGGTAGCTGATGTTGGTTACTGAGTAATGATTTCAGGACCCGATCTATTTATGATAGGGACTATTGAACTGCTCTACTAGCAGCACAGCTAAAGGGGGGAGTGACAGATTCACATTTCTAAACCATCATTTTGATGTAAGGACATTAGTAGCAAACTAAGGTGCATTGATCTGGCCTTTGGGGTCAGGATTAGCTGGAATAGCCAGTGTCTCCGCTGGAGTAGTGGTTATTCCTGCCTCCCAGCTATGGCCATTTCAAAGGTCAGGTGCCCTGTACCCACTTGGCTCAGAGGAATTAGACAGAACATGAGTCTCTGGGCTGATTACTTAACCAAAGACAAAATAATGAGTCCTAAGCAAATACTGACTAATTGAAAGGGCTGTAAATCCATTACATATTGGTCAGGGATAATCAGGAGTATTTAATCACTTTTATCTATTCAGGAGCACTGAAGCTGCAACAGCAAAGCCCTGAACCTTGCCATGTGCTTATTATTCTCATCATTATCAAAATTACTTCACAGCTGTTCTTTGCTACATCACCTCAGCTGGAGATTTACTAACCTGTAAAATGTTTTTAATTTGGAAGTCGAGTGAGTGTGAGTGGAAGGTTTTTTATTTAGCTGTAGGGTATCTTTACAGGAGTAGTACAGGCAGACAGTGAAAACCAGGGTCACAAATAAATAAGTTTGGTTTATATAGACATCTCTGTGCCGACTCCATTTCCTCTTATAAAATTTGTGGTAGCTTGTATTTTTTTTTTCCCTGCCTTTCTTTCTTATGTGCTCCTTGAAAGCATTTGACACTTGCTTATTAAACAGTCAACTGCTTCTTGCTTGTCTTGAGGAAAGTCCTCCTGGCTTTTTGAAATCCCTTTTCCTTGTTTCCATTCTCTCTCCTGACCCTCTCCCTCCTGCATGAATTAAGGAAATTTGCCACCACTGGTGAGGATGGCCTCACAGAAATCAGATTAAATGAACATGAAAAAGCCTCAAACCTTTTACCATCCAGGCTTTAATGAGTTTGCAGGTGTTGAAAGATTTACTGTGCTGTAATTCTCAGACCTGCAAACTGATAATGGAGACCCCTGACCAGTGCAATGTAAATTCAGAAAGATTCTTGCCATAAACACGTGCAGGGAAGGAAGAGAGCTCCTTTCTTTTAAAGATCTCACACTTTTTCTCAAATTAGCTTGTCCATTCAAAATGCAATGCTGGCTGAGCCAGAATGGGGAAATCTGTGATGTACAATTTTATTGTTTCAAGTAAATATCTTTACAATGGTGGTCCACGATTCAATGTACATTCCTTCATTACTAGTCTAACCTTATTTCAAATTGGTTTGTTCCTCCTTTGTGCTGTATGACCTGTTCATGTATTACAATAATCCCCTGATGTACCCTTTTTTCTTCCTCTCCCTTTTTTTTTTTTTTTAAAGAAACTAATTGAATTATCTCATTATTTTAATTTGTTAAGCAAATGTATTTTGTGTCTCAGGATGTGTTCTTAAAGAAGGAGCTGCTTAGGCTTTGCCCCCTGAATGGGCCATTGGTACATTTTGACATTCATGCATTCATTAAGGAGGGGAACATAAAAGAGCTCTGGATGTATTTTTTTTACAAACACCCAACCAGCATGGAGCAACTTTTCCATAAGCCACAGGGGTCTCTCTACATATGTTCTCAACTGCAAGCCATTGTCACCTATTCTGAATACCTCAAAAGGACAAATAAAAAACTAAAGGCCAACTGTAGCAATTGTTAGCTGTTAGTCTCAATATGACAAAAATCATTAACCTCTGGTTTCCCTGGAAGGAGAGGCAGTGGCAGGCAGTCCATCTCTTATGTCATGGTTTAAACATGAAAGTCCTTTAGACTGTCAAATTCCAAAAGAGTAACTCAGTTCTGACTAATTGTATTTACTTATTATTTTAAATAAAATGCTATTTTTTTCCTTTATTCAATTGGTTTGCAAACTCCTAAGGCAGTCAGTTTTAAAAATTGAATGGCCTAAGTGGCTTTTTTGAAGAGACAGGCACTTGAACTCTGATGTAGAATGAATGTGTCTGACAGGCTGTGTCTTTCAAAACAATTTCTAGCCCCTATCACAGCTTCCATTTTGCAGTAACTTTAATTATATTTGAAATAGGATACGCATGCACATTTTTATTGTTGGAAATCAAATGCAAGGAGCAGGAGCTTCTGTCATGTTCTTGTTCACTTACTGAGCTCTGTCTTACATTTGGAATTACAACAGTACCAGAAGATGAAAGATCTAAGGATGAATGGGTTGGAAATGTGTATGCTATTTCTGGATAATATCCAGTGTTTAAGAAAGTAGAGGAAGTCCTAGTCTGGTAGTATAAGCTTTTCAATAGTACATAAAGATTACGACATCAGAAAGGTAAACCTGACATTTAAGGCTGTTTTTACTTGAGTTCAAAGGTGGTTAAAGAAAAGAAACAACAAGAAATCTGACCCAAGCCAAGAGTTTATTCATAGCTTTGGAAGACTCCTTTTCCTCTACGCCAAGGATTCCTTAGTACACTCAATTAGCCTCTCAGACATCTCTGCTTTCCTCCCTCAAGTGCTCCCCTATTTGCCCTGAAAAGAGCATATTTGATCACAAAGTGAAAACAGGAAGTGCTCAAATGTATAGACACCTCCAGCTTACGCCAGTGTTGAGATTAGGATTTCTTACCAGAAACTATACAAAGCCAGTCCCCCTCCTCCCATGCCCTTTTGAAGGATGGAGGACCTTTAAAATTTATGTACATAATCAGAAGAGAGGAAAGTTATAAAGGAAGTAATTATACCTTTCTATGGACTTGTACCTCTGATAGTTCATCCATTTCTACATCATAGTGTGCTAAGGACTACATTTTTTCACCTTCTTTTACAGAGCTGGTTTATTCTTTGACACTTACCTGGAGTGATGCCCTTTGTTAAAATTCTATTTTGGTTGTTTCTTTTGTTACAGTCTGTAGGAAGATGTGTCTCTTAACTAAAAGTACCAGATTTAACAATGGCAAAAACCTGCAAACTAAACCTTTTTTATGACAATGCCAGGTTCCTAGCTGATAATATTGGGAATGTCTCCACTGAAGTCAGTGGAGTCGAGCTGGGATTTTTTTCTTTTTTCTGCTAGCTGAAATTTTGTCTCCTAACATTGAACAGTGTCATTTTAGCCTGATTTCCACAATCCTCCAGTTGAAAATCTTGCTCTTTAGACAGTATGTTTCAGGATAGATTTTGGTTTCATCTGCTTCATTGTCAGGCTAGAGTAAGCTCTCCTGGAAAGTGTGTTACAATGAACCAACCATAGCTTTTGTACTTACCTGAATTAAGTTTCTTAACATGCCATATTCAGGTGTCCAGACTGGATTATATGAATAGTCTTACTGAAATGGATTTACTTTTTCCTGTATTTATGTGGGTGTGTCTGAGAATATAATGTGAATCTATCATATCTTGATGAATGGTTTATCAAGCCTTTTATACAGCGCAGCTATTTTATTTATTCATTAGACTTGATTCTAGAGATGAACATCATCAGGTAAACCCAATCTTGGAGAGAAGAAGTTGAATCCATCCCACCTTCATAAATAAATCCTCCTATATTGTGATTTTAGGAATAATACCCTAAAGGAAGGTTTAGAACATAACTAGCTATAGCACTCCATACTGAACTGCTTACTTTCATATCAAACTGTAGAACAGCTCTTCTCAGAGATGTGATATGGGAGAAGGATTTTTCACATTGCTGTTTCTGCTGTACTTTAAAAAAAAAACAACCAAACCCAAAAATTCAACAGACCTCTGTCCCATTAAAAAGGGATGGGATACTCCATAAAAATATAGGAATGTGAAGTCATTCTGATGAATTTTAGTGCATGTGTTGGACTGCATTGTAACATGTTATAACCTCTGAGGGTACAGAGAGGAGATGGATGATGTCCTCTGATTCTCCTGTAAAACCACCGACATGTGCGTTTGCATGACAGCCATTTCCACCTCAATCCACCACACAGTCAGAGAGCTGGAGGAGCCTAAGT